CCTTCAAATCGTGGAAAAAATTTGGCAGTTTTATCTTCTGGTGCTGAAGAAAGTGAATGCTTAATTTTTAAAACTTCATCCCCTACTTTATAAGTTACTCCCCGTCGTTTCAGATCATAGTATAACTTCTGTTTTCTTTGTGCTACTTCCGTATTCTTTTTTGCTTCTTTTATTAGTTTTTCTATATCACCCATTTTAAATTCTGGGGCTCTTTGTTGCACATAAAATAGTTTATCTAACGGTGTTATAACCTTTCTGCCTAGAAATAACTCAGCAGGAGTTTTGCCCGTTGTATCATGTTTTGCGGTCCTAAGGGCGAAAGCAAATTCATTGACATAGTTATCCCAGCTTTTATGAAAATTTTTAACATAACTACGGATAATTTTCACTATATTTCTGTTGACCCGTTCCGCTATATTTGATTGCGGCCGATACGGGACCATTTTTAAATGACGTATGCCCAGTTTTTGGCACATGTCTTCAAATATATTACTTACAAATTGAGGACCATTATCCGATATAACTTTTAGGGGCGCCCCGTATTTTAAAATATATTTATTTAAAATAGAATCGGTAACTAATTTCGCGGAGGCTCGTTTTAAGGGAACAATTTCGGTCCATTTACTAAAATGATCAACCATAACAAGGAGATAGCGACTTTTGTTTAACTGACTTTTTGGGAAAGGGCCCAATAAATCGATGCCGATTATTTCATTTGGAAATTCGGATTTAATACTATTTAGAAACCCGGCCGGGCGGGCGGAAATTAATATAATTAACGGCTTGACATGTTGGGCAGGACTGGACATACGCCCTTGTTAACTTTTGCAGTTCAGGAAAGTAGACTGCCTCGCGTACGCGTTGAGTAGTTTTTCGAATACCAGCATGAGAAGCTAAAGGGCTGTCATGGAGCTCCTGCAGGATATTTAATCTAAGACTAGCTGGGATAACAGGTCGAAATTCGTTGTTGGAATTCGTAGTTTTTGTATAAAATAATAGACCATCTATTAGTTCGTAAAGGGCCGCCCTATTTCTTATCGCCACAATATCTTGGTGGCTAAAATTTTCAGGATCCTTTAAATACTCATAAATGCTTCCAAACTCAGGATCCTTACCCAGTTCGGTTATTACAGTTTCTCGGGAATTTATTGTACATGCTGTGAGCATTGCCACCTTTACAGTATTACCTTCTTCATCTATTTTAATTCTTGATAGGGCATCCGCTACGATATTTTCCTTTCCGGGGGTATGCTTGATTACCAGATTATATTCTTGTAGCTTGAGTGCCCATCTTATTAACCTTGGGGATAAGTTTTTCCCTGAGTACAATCTAGTTACCGCCGCATGATCAAAGTACACTGTTATTGGCGCCTTTCCAAAATAGACTCGGAACTTTTGCACTGCTAACAGAACTGCAAGTGCCTCTCTCTCGGTCGCGGAATAGTTTCTTTGTGTTTGATTTAAAGTTCGGCTAAAAAATGCCACGGGCTGCTGATTTTGCGAAAGTACCGCTCCTACCGCATAATCCGAAGCATCCGCTGAAATTTCTAAATTCTCATCCTTTTCAGGAAATTTCAACACAGAGGCTTGCGTTAATGCTTGTTTTAATTTTTCGAAAGCACTATTGGCTTCGGCCGTCCACGAGAATCTTGCCTTTTTTCCTTTTTAATTTTAACAATGGCTCAGCGATAGCCGCAAAATCTTTTATAAAGGACCTATAATATGAACAAAGTCCTAGAAAAGAAGAGAGCTTCTTTGCCGTGTTTGGAGTCGGATACTTTTGTACAGCGATTATTTTTGATTCATCTGTCTCGATCCCCTTTTTGCGATATTTTGTAACCTAAATATTTTAATTCAGGGGCTGCAAATTTGCACTTTTCGACATTAACTTTTAGACCGGCCTCATTTAATAAAGAAAACACCTGTCTTAAATCCTGTACATGTTGGTCTAGATTATCACTAGTAATAATGATATCGTCTAAATAGATAAATGTGGACTTCCCAAGAACAGGTCTTAACACAATGTCCATGCATCGCTGGAATGTTGCTGGGGCGCCTGAAAGGCCAAACGGCATACGCAAAAATGCATAAGTGCCAGACTTGGTTATAAAAGCAGTCTTAGGCACGTCCTCAGGCCTGACCCCTATTTGAAAATAACCATTCGTTAAGTCTAAAGTCGTCATAAATTTGGTTGATTTTATGTTCCTTAAAATTTCTTCTATAATCGGTAACGGATATACCGGATATTTCGTTATGGAATTTAATTTACGGTAATCAATAGCGAATCTCCACCTTTTTGGATGCTCCAAAGGATAATCATTATTTTTCTTACATAAAACCACCGGACTAGCATAACTACTTGAGATGGGCGTTATGATCTTTTTACGTAGCATATCGGTAATATGCCATTCTATAATTTTTTCCTTATTCTTATCATACCGGTATGGTTTTTGACGAACCGGCAATGCATCTCCGGTGTCAATACTATGGTTAGTAACCTGAGTAAATCCTGGAATATCACTAAATAAGGAAGCAAATTCACTTACCACTTGTCGGATTCTATCTTGCTCGTCATTAGGCAGGTGGTCAAGATTTAACCTTGGCGGTTCAACCTTTTCTACACGCACTGGTTTCATTGTCAGCTTAAGGGACGCTTCATTAAAATCCAGTGTAGCTTGTGCGTCTGAAAGAAAGTCTATTCCTAGGATTAAATTTGCTTGCAAATTCTTTACTATAAAAAACATCACCTTTACTTGTTCGTCCTTGATACGGATGTACAAAGGTACTTTACCTACGCACTTACATTGTTCTCCTTGCGCCGCTAATACTGTTGTATTATCCGCATTATATATGCGGTATTTGCGAAAATACTTTCTAAAAAAGACTTCTGCCACACAGGAACACTGCGCGCCGGTATCCAGGAGTGCGGTGGCCGGGATATTATTTACCAAGACTTCAATCTTCGGAAGAGTTAAAATTTTTCACCATTACTGTATTTAACTTGTAGGAAGAGGGGTTTTCGTGGCCTTCGGATTTCCGCACCCTCTCGTCAGCAGAAATCCGTTTTAGTTTAAATTATTTTTCCTTTCGGTGCTTTCCTTCTTTCTCCACTGGCCTTGAGACTTTTTTCCTGGGTTGCTATTGAACTGTCGACGTTCGCCGGCTGTTTTTGAATGCTCGGGTTTCCTTGCCCACTGATTCGCTTTTTCTCCGTAGCCATGTGCTTGAGTTTGCTGTAGTCTTGGCGTACCAAATTGGTTTCGCTGTTGATATTGGCGTCTTCTTTCGACGTCCGCCGTTCTTCTACTTTCAAACTGGATTGCTAGCTCAAAAAATAACTTTTCCAGTGTAGTCGGATTTCGTAATTCAATAAAGTCTTGCACTTGGGGTAGTAACCTCGGCAAAATCACTTGAATTATTTCAGGATCCGGACGGTTTCCATACAAGAGCTTGAAAACGTGAATTTTTCTTAAAATAAAGCTCGAGAGGTTTTCCATTCTTTGTTACTGATATATACTGCTGAAAAGTTCCGTTTCTAATTTTCGCACGATCCCTTACAACAGGGAAGGCTTTTAGTAGGGCAGTCTTGAAATTTTCGTAAGTATAGGTGGGACTTCCTGCTTGACCCAAGAGACTTCTGCCGATACATTTGAACCAGTTAAGCGCTTGGCCCCTCAAAGCGCTGTTAGCTAAGGTAACTTTCTGAAACTCGTGCACGGGGTAGAGCATGAAGTGGTCATCCAATTTTTCCAAAAAACTGGTTACCGGTGAGTTTCCATTAAATGTTGCTTGTGGTTTCATCGAAGCGCGCATGGTCTGGACGATGTACCCAAATCCTTCCAGGGCGGCAGCTGGCATTTCTGGATTCTGAGCCGTTTCTGCAGGCAGCACAGGTTCTTCTTGAAACTCGGCCATGGTTATTCTTCGTCGGGCGCCACTATCAGGTTCAATGTTTCTTCTAACCTTCTTCGGAAACATACAATGACCTGACTAGGAACAGAGAGCTTACTAAAGCTATGTTCACTAATTGTAGTAAGTAGACAGGATACAGACGAAGGGTATACAAAACCCTTTATTTTTCTTTATATACAATGACTTCCGTACTTCGGAATACAATGACCCTCCACTCGGGGTCTAAACGTAAAAGGTATAAAAATAAAACTAAACTCTAATTTAACTTTAGAATAAGAATGGCCTTATAATAACAGGAAGCGTATGTAGCACAGAGACTGTGAACACTACAATACGTTTAATTTATCAAGAGGATTAAAACCTCTGGCCTGGAAGGCAAATAGCAACTGCGTAACTTCTAAGGTAAGCGGCCTGCTTCGAACTCACTGCTTCCTCTCTTCTGCTTGGCAAAAAGGCCACACTTAAATACTTGGCGTTCGCCAGACAACTTTGCATAAAATCCTTCATGCTTATAATTCTGGCCGGAAGTAGAAGATAAGAAGTGATAGTAAAGATTTAAAATAAAATAAACGTTAGTAAAACTTAAGATCCTTACAGTTTCTACGTATTTATTTTTAAAAAGTTTGAATATGTATTAAAAGTTCACTTGTCTGACAAACAAGCTACGAAAATTCCTCGTGGCAAGGAGCGTAAGTTTACGCCTATCGTTGGCAACAGCTTAAGCACCTTACAGGTGACAGTGCGATTCAGCTCAGTTCCGCCTCCAATTTTGGCGAAGAGCACCCCAGAGGGACGGGTCCGGGGGTCTCCCACGCCTTTCCTCTTCACACGAGAGGACTTTCGGCTCGCCATATATTTTGGGTGCCGCCATGCCGCACTGACCCTATACATTTACAAACATCCATGCCTTCTCCGAGATTCGAACCCGGGCCTTTCGGCATGGTAGTTAACGACGCTAACCACTATACCGACTGGGTGGCACGTTTATTATTTAGAGGATTAATATCTGTTTTATGATTCATTCTACTATATAATTATGGCATTGTGCATAAACTAAGAGAATATTTCAAAATTCATAAGAAACTTACTATCAGTGTCTTCTTATTTTCATTAGGCCATCTAAAAGATCTTCGAATACCTAAATATAAGAAACAATAGCACATATAGTTATTAAAATTTCATCAAATGGAATATAAGTCAGAGGTGAATGTATTAATAACTTGAAGAATTGCGAGTAATATTTTTAAGTCTGTCTGTGGACTAAAAGGTGAGTATATTGTAAAAGATTTGTATAGAATGCTTCTTGTACATTATTTTGAAATATTTAATTCTTTTTTAATTTTTAAACAAAGCAAATTAAGTATATAGGCCAGCGCTTCGAGTCATTTGAAAGCATTCGGAATTTTCTCAGACATATGAATGTACACCTTGCCAAAAAAAGGGGGGATTTTCGTTTCCTGAAAACGCGATATTAGATTTATACATAGCATTGTCTAACATATTTTGACACAAAATTCGACTTTTTCTGAAACAGCATGCCAATTTTTCTCCATATTTCGATTCTACACTTCAAATAATGCCAAACAGCCAAGTTCTGCAAAAATAGCAATGAGTAGTTATTAAAAACTTAGCATTCAAAAATTTAGCTCCTCAGTGTTAATTAAATTTGGTATTTGCTTATAAATATTTCGTTTTTTATTAAACTTATTTGTTTCTTCATTTAGTATTTCGAAATTTAGGTTCATTACAGATAAAATTCGCCCCTTTTTTATGATTTTTTAAATTTCTTTTAAAATAATTTTTATAAATTTTTCGAAAAAAACTTTGAATTATAACCTATAAAACTTTTAAGTATATTTGCAAAAATTTAGTGTTTTTTTTTTTTTTTTTTTCAAAATTTAGAGTTTTTTTATTCAAAATTTCCTAAGATATAAGTGAATTCACATATTGGCGCGTTTTGAAATTTGTTATAAACGATAATAACGCCAAATGTGGTTTGGTGTGGCTTTGTTAAAATTATTTGAAAGTATGAACGATTACCGTTTTTCTGCTCCTGTACAATGAAAAAAAAAGGAAAGGAAAACAAGTTGCTATAAATTAAGAATTTCGCCTAGTAAATTATTTTTGACGCAAACTGAAAAAAAATGCGTCAAGATAAATTTCTCACCAAAAATTACAAAATTGAATAGTTAGGCATGACGTAAGTCGTAGAATCAAAATATGAAAACAAAATGGTGTGTTATTTCAGAAAAACTCCGATCCGATATTGTGTCAAAATACCTATGTTAGAACAATGCTATATATAAATCGAATATATATCCCAAGTCGTGCTTTCGAGACATCGGTCTAGTAGAACGGGAGATATCGAACTGTCTTACTGTCTTCCTTTTTTTTTTTTTTTTTTTTTTTTAGTCCAAAGGGGCTTTGTCCCTGAAGGACTGTTGTTTTCGTTTTGCGATTTTGCATTTGTTCACTATAAATGTCCATTTCACTTTTCAAACTTTTGCCACTAAATGTTAGAGTCCTGCATTATGTTTCAAAGAATTAAATAATGAAAAATCTGCATGAATGTATGTATATTTCTCGCATTGTGATAAAACAACGGTACCTAGAGCCATCGAATTTTGAATGACGTAATCCTACTACGAATATGGGCATGCGGAAGCCGAAATTTGGAATTTGTTTATTATCGATTTCATAATTTGTAAATCTTAACAAATTTTTGATCAACAAACTCAAGGATTTCAAAGCGAGCAGTGGCAACGTTGTACACAAAAAAACATTTTTAGCTCCAGCGGCGCGAGACTCTGTATCGGAAATTCTAAAGATATTCTCAATTTAAAATTATTTTGCGATATTGCTCTTAAACTGAATTTTATGGTTTAAGTGTGAAGAGCGTGTTATTTAATAAATAAAGGTAACAGACAAAATTTTAAAAAAACGCCCCTTTGGTTTAAAATCTAAAACCTTTCTGGTTTTTATTAAATTTTTACTGAACTCTTGATTAAATGTGACAAAATCGATTAATTTTGAAGCTATTAAATTATATTTTGCACTATTTTTTCAACTGTGTTTAAATTAAGTATAACAGAGTTTCAAATATCCGAACTAAATGATACTAATATTTAGCCGAAAATTTCAAAAAAAGAACTCGAACCATTGGCATTTATCTATTCAATATGCATATTTATTATTATTATTATTATTTGATATAATAAAGCAAAGAAATTCAATTTTTCACATAATTTAATTTTTTTCAGTTTTGATATTACACATTAAAAAAATAAAATATATTTACTATTTCTTATATAAATATTAAACGCACTTTTTCCGACAATTTATAATATAGAATTCCGTTTTATTTGCTTACTACTAAGGGCAACACTAAATTATTGTAGTTTCGTGGCGCGTTGCAAACCAAAAACAAAAAATCCTTGAGTGGAGATGAAATTGAAAACAGTCACAGCGTTTATTTAGTCTTTTTTTTTTTTTTTTTTTTTTTTTTTTTTTTTTTTTTTTGGAATGGAGTGTTTTCATGACCAAATTATAAAAATAATAGGCTTATATACAGAGGCTTTTCGAACATTTTTTGGACCATTTTGTTTTGCTGTAAAAAAAATCGCTTACTTAGAAAAAACATTTTAACTGCAACTATTTTTTTAAAGTGCAAATTATCGTCTGCTATTTGACAATTTTGTTTTCATGGGAAATGGTGCTTCTAAAGTAGCATTGGAAGGAAGGCTATGTTTGTGCTCTCTCCGAATAAAATTACTCGTATTTAGTTATTAAGAAATGCTGTGAAAGCCATGATTTTTCGATATTTAAAGCAGCGATAGATGATATTTTCAATACGAGAAGGATGATTATCAAGTAATCATAAATTTGCCTTAAAATTGTTTAAAATGTATATCCCCCCCCCAAAAAAATGAAATGTTTCGAATGTTGCAAAAGTAAGAACTATGATGTTAAACGAAAATCTTCGAAATCAAAGGACAATTGCATAATCATTAGAATGCTCAGCGTAACTGTAAACAAAGTGATTAATACTGATTTGAATCTTAAAAACGCGAAAAAACGTAATGTACACTGTTTTTCGACACGACCCATGGCTAAAGGCAGAACGAGCTGCAGAATTCTCTATGAGAAACATTTATTCGGATAAAATCGGGAAAATGTTAAAATAGGTGAATCTTGGGTATATTTAAAGGACCTCAATTAGAAGTGATCCATTTATTAGCAGCAAAGAGAAGATAAAATTCTTAGAACATGGTTGAAAGAATATAAAGAAATGTTTTCAAAGGTGCTTATGATTGATGCTGGTTTTTGATATAACGACAGTTAAAAATTAAATAGAATGTAGAACAATGCGGTGGTTACTGCAGATAACCAATTTTTCCACTGAATGTCTTACTCACCCCTGTGAGTGGTTTTTCAAGATTGACCGTTTCTGAAGTTCTCTTGTAGCTCACTAGATGACAGTCAAGAAACATAAGCCAGTAGTTGATGCAGCAATTCGTTTTCAAGAACATAAGCATGAGCCATCGAAGACAACTTCACGACGATGTGCACTCTCCAGCACCAAGAAAAAGCCTGTAAGAACAGTGTGGGAATGCAGCGTGCAAAGTTGCCCTCTGCATGAAAAAGAACTGTTTCCATGAGTACCATAGAGACTGATTTGTAGGGATGTGTTCTGTGGGCGGTGGTCACTGACACTAACCACCAGAAGTAGTCATTTGTTCACACGTCTTGGACAAAATATGTATAATTGTCGCAAATAATTTCATTTGAAACACCTGATATAGTAAATAAAACAAGAGTTCTGCTGAAAAGTTAGTTATTTGCCTTTTCTCCTGCCCCTCAAAGAGTTAAGGCCAACTGCAGATATTATCAGGAACGTATTTTATACCCAATTTTCAAGTATGAACAGCTTCTGTTTACCCACAATGCCGTGAATCCGTATAATTGCATCAAGACAAAGCAAGCAGTCCCAAGTTAAAATCCACTGTTAATTTCCTGGAAAAAGAAGTGGAAGAATAAACGTATATCAAGGCCAAACTCTTCACTCATATCCCTACTCAATCTTCTGATGTATCTATCACTCACAGATTTTTGCGCTTTCGGATTTTTAAAAAGCGGATTGTCCAGTCCTCGATCTGCAAACCTCGTCGGAATTTGGAAAACTGTTCGAAATGAGAGAAAATATCGTTTCCGCTACTGGCAAAAATTTTATTGTCTAGGAAATTACGATGTAGAAAGAGAATGAACAATAAGGCTTATCAAAAAGGAACATTTAAAACAAACATTTTAGATAAAATATTTCTGTAAATGCAATGAAAATCGTCTAAAAATGTGCGAACACTCTTATTATAAGTCGTAACTGCATTCGTGTTATATAACATCAGAAAGTTTTTACTACAATTTATAGGCCAGTCCCCTTTTTGAATGCAATATATTAGCAGTAGCTTCTTAGATAATATATGCATATTCTAACGCATTAGCTTTATATTACTTAAATAATTAGAAACGTTCAATAAATTAGCAATAGGCTTAATTTTACTTGGTCAAGAAAGAATAATAAGCAATCCGTATGTTAATAATTATAAAGAATTATCACATCACCCCGTGAGTGCTCCGGTGGGGTAAGCGATAGCACATCCGTTTAGCAGTCGGGAGGTGCGGAGTTTGATTTCTGGCAAGAATATAGCTGATTTTTCTTCTTCCTTTGAACCCCCAGGGGCCCGACGCAGAGTACTCTCTGAAGCTACTGGCTAGGATCTGTACCTAGGCAGTCTCGGCCACGGGGATTTAAAAATATTGAACCTGGCGGTTCCCGATGATCTGTAGGAAAGAGTCTATCCCAACTTTTCGCGGGTCTGGTGGCGTCAGTTCCTCTTAACTAGGGTATCAGTAGCGGAATAGAGCATTGGCCGTTGAACGTCCAGTCCGCGCTGTCCTCCGTATTCTGTGGGAAGGTCTGGAGGGAGGGGGTGCCCGCGTAGTAGGCAGGTAGTTAAAAGTGTATGGGACACCAGACACTTCATTAGAGAATCGAACAGATATTGCCCCAATACACTAACCAGCTATAATGTGAAAAACTTGAACTGTATGCTATTTCTAAGTAATACTGGAATTGTACATCGGAGTTGTCACATTTAAACATAAGAGAAAAATAACATAAAATTACATACAAAGTAAAATTGATATTTTGGAGATCATTGCACTGAAAAGTTTGCATTTTTATGTAAGTGCTAATATATTGGGAGTCTGATTCTTGTCATGTAAGGATATTTGTTAAATGTAAAACTCTACTGAGTTCAGATCTTTCAAACTAAAGTCCAAATTTCATGGTCTCGGTGTTTTGGAGCATTATGGAAAACGTTAATGTTGCGTGAAATCAATTATTGGAGTTGTAAACATAGACATTGCTCTTTCTGCTCTTTTATTCTCTGTCCTAAGGTGTGACTTGGCATAGGTCCAGTCCTAGAGCACCAAGCTTTTGGTGTACTTCCAAAATTTTTGGATACAGGCGGCGTTAAAATATCACCAGTCTTTTAAATATAAGATCTAGACTGGTAGGTTTCTGAATGTGTAGGTCACTTGTAAATGGGCGGAAGAGTAGGTAATGGAATGCATCTTCTTTGACTCCAGAGACGCAATTATCGCTATTGGAGAGGTTCCTTTTGAGAAAATAATTTCGATATGGGCTATAAACCGGTGAGGTAATAACTTAGGAAGGACTTGGAGCTTCTGATTTCTGTGCCGATTTTTTTTTTTTTTTTTAAAATTTTTTATTAAAGAAACACAGTAAGTTCTCCATGTACCACTAAGTATCACATGGGGCTTACAGAAGTAAGTATGAAACACAATACAAAATAAACAGAAGAAAAAAACTGAAACAAATTAAGGATTATACAAAGTTTTACAATGAATTGACAAAAAGTGTTAAAAGCACTTCTCTCGGAAATAAATTGGTAAAATTCTGGAGGCCAGTTAATATTAAAATTTTTCAGTCCCAGTTTCAAGACTTTTCTTTCGCTCTCATATTTAGGACATAGAAGAAGCACGTGTTCAACATTCTCCTCGCCACCGAGGCTACAATCACTGACAGATTCGGGGCTTAACTTAAATCTGTTCAAATAACTTTTGAAATTTCCATGACCAGTAAGAAATTAGGTTAATTTATAGTTCGTGAAGAAGTGATGACATGACAATCTCATTTTGATGGAAGGGAAAAATCTCTTAATTAAGCTCCCTTTATTTGAATTAAGGAATTCGTGGTTCCACGACTCCACAATACCTTTATACATGACCTTCTTATAAAAGGAATTAGGGATATTGACAAAAGTGTCAATTTCCCTCTTAGTCGCAGTCTTACCAAGGAAATCCGCTCGTTCGTTCCCAACAGCACCTGTATGACCACGAACAAATGAAAATGCAACCGAAGTATTTTTATCTTTTATGTTTTTCAGTTCTTTTTTAATCTTGATAATGATATTATTAGAAGAATAAATGCATTTTAAGATCTCCGAAGATGAAAGATAATCAGTACAAATGAGATAGTCTGAAACAGCACTATTTTGTTCAGAGGAGTGCGCCGGTCTGTTGTAACATTATTCCACTCTTCTTGCCACTCGTGGTAAGCACGTCTGTCTAGGATTTGTCGTAGCAGCTATTTCGGAAACTTGATGTTGAGGAACTTGCCTTCTTGCGAAAGAGCTGCTGTTTTTGACATATTGTCGACGGTATCGTTGCCAACGTTGCCACTGTGTCCTTTTGATCCAAGTTATGGTTATTTCAGTGTTGAGATCTTTTGAGATTTGATTAATTTCATGAGCCAGGTGAGAACGGTTGTCTGGATTTCGGATGGAGAGTATGGCTGCTTAGCTGTCTGAGTTAATGGATAAATTTGATAATGTATATAATGGACAAATGGATAATATAATGGATAATTTGTTTAATTTATAATGGATTTTTGGAGAAATTGTTTATTGACGGAATGTGGATGGCAGCTTTTATTGCTGAGAGTTCCGCTTGGTGTATGCTATTGGAGTTGTCTAAGTACCCTTTCTATTTTATTGTAGTGTTGTTGCATAAAAAGAATGCTGCGCATCCAACTTCAGAAGACATCATGCTGCGCATCCAACTTCAGACGACATCATGCTGCGCATCCGTCATCAGACGCCACAAAATGCACAACATTTCGTAGCGTCTACCTGCGTACGTCTACTATTTCGTGCGTACGTACCCACAGACGCCACGAAACATTCTCTTCAGAATTCATTTTAAATTAGTTTTATAATTTTTCTGGGGGAAAAGAGTCCTTTATTTTGTTCTTACATACAGAAGTCACGCACAAACATCGTTAAATTGCATTCGATAGCGGTGAAACTGGATATTTGCGTTGAAATATGATGCCTGAAACTTTTCGCGATCACAATACTTCCTTTTTATTTCGTACAAAGAAGTAATTAATATTAATGCTCTTTAACATCTGTCATGGTAAAGAAATCTCCAAAGGCATTTTTCACATCTGTGATCTCCGTACAGAAGCTCTCAAAATTCTAGGGAACATTCTAATCCTAATTCGAATCTTAATCGATAAAATTTTCATCGATGAATACTCATGTTACACCTACTCAACCTATTTCTCTCGTACTATAAGGCCTATTGACGAAATACGACTGACGTTTTTTATATCTCGAAAGCGCTACTCAGGATACATATTAGATTTATATTTAACGTTCTAGCATGCGAATTTTGTTCCAAAATGGAACTTCTCTGAAACGGCATGCCGGGTGTTTTTCCACATTTCGATTCTACATCTCAAGTTATTCCAAAGTTTTATAAAAATCGCAGCAGCAGATTTTCTTACCCCCACAATGTTCTCATACATTTAATAATATTGACATTCCGATTAGATTTACTTTATTTTTTGTCTGGGTGTTTCATAAAAGCTTTACTTGAGGCAGTAGTTTTGTAGACTTTTTTTTTTACCAGCTCAAAATCTGATTTCTTTTACAGCGTTACGAAAACCGACGTTAGTTTTATAAAATTTTCATGAATTAAAACTTTAACCAGAGTTGGTATCGTAATTAATACTACATATTAATGAACGAGGAGATTTTAATAAACATATTAACGCATAGTAAAACAATTTTTGTAATTAACATATGCTTGCCACCAGTTAATAATTGAAGCAAATACTTTTCGCATAATTAATATGGGAATACCTTATGAAAAAACGTAGAAAATTTCTTTTCATTGCTTACTAAATTATAATAGTAATCAGATTTTATCCTTAAAAAATTAAAATCAGATTATCATCAGTATCAGAAAGTTAAGTTGATGCTACCTATTAGGTAACTGCATAAAATGTATAAATTAAAAAGACTTACCAGCCATTGTCACTTATAGCTGCCAAAGCCTAGGTTCGATTTCTTATTCCGAAGTAAGCAATCACAATGAAAAAAATAAAGAATTGTGGGGATATCTGAAATGCATAAGCAATCAAAATTAAATATAATAAAAGATAGAATAAGAAACGAAAATCTGAAAGCTTTCAGATTTTACATTATGCCCAAAAGGTCTTTTTTTAGCGTTTTGTGTGTTACCTTTGTTTATTAAAAATCACGTTCTTCGCACTTCAAACACGTTAAATTCAATTCAGTAGCGATATCACAAAATATCTAAAAACAGAAAAATAGCATATCTTTAGAATTTCTGATACACAGTCTCGCGCGCTGGAGATCAAAATTTTTTTTTTTTTTTTTTTTTTTTTTTTTTTCGTACAGTGTTGCCATTGCTCGCTTTGAAATTGTGGAATTTGTTAATTAAAAATTCGTTAAAGTTTCAAAAAACTGGAAATTAAAAATTTGGGCTTCCAAGTGCCCATGTTCGGTTGGAGGAGTACATTATTCAAAATTCGGTGGTTCTGGGTACCGTGGTTTCTTCGCAATGCGAGAAAAATTCATGCATTCATACAGATTCTAAATTATTTAGTTTCTCTAAATATAATACAGGGGCAATAATATTTGGTGGCAACAGTTCGAAAATTAAATCGTTGCAAAATGCCGTTTTGAAATTAATAATCCTTTCTGGGCTAACCCCCTTTGGGTTAAAAATAAATACACAATGATAAATACAAATTAACAATAAATACAAAGAAATGTTACACAAATGCAACAAAATAAATAAAAATCATAAGATAATAATTAAAGCTATTTGATAAAATATGTGTAGGGCCAATAAACTGTGGTTATAAACTATAAGTGCAACAATTTTTTTCAACCTGACGTATAACCGTTTTGTTATTAAAAATAGAAAAATATAAAATATGATATAACCAATTAAATTAAAGAATGATTTTACATTATTTATTATATATATGTACATTAATGTCAGCATTGGCGCTAGTTATTAGTTTTAAAAACTCGTTTTGCTACTTTATTATTATTTTTGTAATTATAAATTAAAATGCATATACACAAAAAATCTGAAAGCTTGCAGATTTTATATTATGCCCAAAGGGACCTTTTTTAACGTTTCCTGTGTTACCTCTACTTATTAAATATCATGTTCTTCACACTTTAACCATAAAATTCAATTCAACAGCAATATTGCCAAATAATTTAAAAAGAGCATATCTTTAGTATTTCCGATACACAGTCTAGCGCTCTGGAGATAAAAATGTTTTTCTTCTCCGTACAGTGTTGCTATTGCTCTCTTTGAAACCTTTGAGTATGAGTTGACCCAATATTCGTTAAACGTTTACAAAATATGGAAGAGATAATAATACAAATTCAAAATTTCGGCCTCCAGATGCCCATATTCGGGAGGAGACGTACGTTATTCAAAATTGGATGGCTCTAGAGTACCGCTGTTTTATCACAATGCGAGAAACATACATAGATTCATGCAGATTCTTCATTATTTAATTTCTTAAATATAATACAGGGTGATAATATTTGGGGGCAAAAGTCTGAAAAGTTGCACAGCTTTTTAAAGACTTCAACGCAAAATGCCAACACGAAATTAATACCCCTCCTGGGCTAACAATAAATGCAACAATTAGCAATAAATACAATTTTATAAAAGTAAATACAAGTACAAATGAATGTAATGAATATATTTAACGCAAAAACCAATAAATGGATAATCTTGAATACAAATTTAAGAATTAAATAACACCTAATTATTAGCATCTATTGCAACCAAAAACAATAATACTGTAAGTTACAATAAGGCGTAAGAATACAAAAAATGAAATAATTTTACAGATTAATATTTTTGAATGGTGCAAGACGACGCTGATTAGAGTTTTCCGTTTGATTTCGACAAATGAGAGACGGGATCTCTAAGGATCATTTCTTTTTCTCTGTTAAATTTTCTATTTCGCGACATAATTCTTATTTTTAGTTTTCTTGGGCAGTTTTTAAAGACACTTGGGAAAAAAATTGCTTTATTCTTAACTGCACTTAATTGTCGCTTGCTTTAATATTTACATAATAAATTTACTTTTAAAAAATAAACCTATGGAGACAGTTTATCTAGTATTTTATCTCACAAATCAAAATACAGGCATTTTTCACTTGCGTACGTTCACTTTGCAAAATTTTGTTCTTGTAAAATTCTTAAATTAAAAGATTTTTTTCCAATTAGCGAGAAAAGTCAGACGAGAATTTTTTCATATATGGAGAAAGATAAACAATAAAAGTAAGATTCAGTATTTGTCTTATGCAAGGATTGCAAGAAAGGCTGACAAATTATAGTAAAAAATACGGATCTAAGGCAGTTTTTTTGTGATGGTGGTGTTTTTATTCTACAGACATTACGTTATTTGGAAGCAGGAGAAATGAAAAATGTGCAGTGCCCTCGCCGGGACTCAACCTCTGACCTCTCGAATACGAGCCGAGAGTGCTAACCATTACACCACGAAGACAGGCTAAGAAGACGGCAAAAATACCTTATATGCTCCCTTTTTTAAAGGGCAACTGTTGATTAAGGGACCCAGTCGCCAAATCCTGGCGGTGGAGAATCATCACCCACTACCTTTTTTTAGTTCGGGTGCCAATGTAGAGACATTAGGTTATTTGGAAGCAGGAGACATGAAAAATATGGAATACCCTCGGACCTTTGGAATACGCAGAGAGCGTGCTGACTATTACACGACGAAGGCATGCTAAGAAGGTGGGAGAAATATTTTATATCATTGCCCACGAAGAGTTCTTCATTAAAGAAACAAAAATGTATCAGTTTTAGTAGCCAAAACGTACTCACTTACAACTAGCCTCTTACACCATTCAGAACACAAAAAACTTCGACTCTCGGCATTAGACTGTAAGGTTATATATTTTTACGTAATGCCCAGCTGCGGTAAAATAGCTTTCCTGCAAAGCGGGTTTAGGGTTGCCATAAAATAGTGCGTAAAATCGCCTGTTTGGCGACAAAATTAACGATATGCCATAGACGGAGCGAGAACATTCGTTCTGAAACGAATTCTTACCGGTTTTCTTCCCCAGAATGTTCTCGAAGACAGGTAAAAAGCTATAAATAACCCTGCTTGTACGCGGAGTAGCAGTGCATCGTAAATTTCATTGTGAAGAGTATATTTAGTGCTTTGCCGTGAAGCTGCCTTCATCATTGTAGCCTGAAGGCTATGTTGCTGACTGTTTCAGCGTGTTTATCATAGTTTTTCGATAACTGTAAACGTGGCTTTTTGAACTCTCCTCTGTCACGCTGGCGAATAAATTGTGTTTTTATTCTTCATCAAGTGTTGGCATGATTCACTCCGAACAATGAAACGTTTATCTTCATGTACTATCTTTATGTTCTAAAAGAATTTATTTGGTAAAATTAAATTTTCAATTTTAAGTTGCTTTAGCGCTTCATTTTATTATATTATTATAGATTTAGTCCCTATTTTATTATTTTTAAAATAGTATATATATATATATATAACGAACGAGAGAGACAGATATAAGTACAAAACTGAATAAGTAAATTAAAGGAAATAAACTAAACTAATTAAAGCAATTAAAAGTTTTTTAGTTCATAATTTTTTTACATTGTGTCCTGCTGTTGTATAGATAGCATTTTTAATTCTATACATTTTTATTTCATTATTTTATTAAATTATATAGATATACGCGTACGTTAGAAGAAAGAGAGAGTTAATTTTCTTGCAAAATTTTAAAACTTCTGTCAGAGACAAACCAGTATATTATTAATAACTTAAAGGGCAATATTTTTGCTACTACGTTATCTTTTTCAAGTATTTTTTAAATGATTAAAACTCACTTAATATCTTATCGGTCGCTTTAATTTGTGTATCGAATTCTTCATCTACATTTACTAAGTTCATTAAACCGTAAAAGTAAATTAAAATAACTTGATTTACGATAAACTGGAAAACCTGAAAAAAGAACTAAAGTTTTCTTCCGTTTCATAAATTTAAAAGGTATTCAAAAGATTATTTTATCCATTTTACCCTTGGAAGTAAGGGCACTGAACGGTAAGTCATAAATATTTATGTGGAATTTCTTTCTCCTTCAGTTACTGAGATAATGTAACCTCTGCAAACGATATGTAATCATTTTGTTTCCTACAACTTTATGTAAACTGGAATGGCAACGGTAAAAATATACTAAGTTTTAGAATAATAATGTTGTTTCAGAATATCGATGTCTTAAAGGTAATAAATAATTTTCGTTAAAATATATTAGTGAAAAGTTGTTCTTAAGCACATAAATAGCGTTTATTTAGAAATCAAACAACAAAAATCAAGTTATGTTTTCAAATTTTCACAGGGCTAGGGCTAGTTTCGATGGTTTTACCGAACCATCATCCTCAGCTGCCAAAGCGCAAAAGCTGTAGTTAACTAATCACGCCATTAAAGCTATATTGGAAGTGTTTTTTTTTTTTTTTTTTTTTTTTTTTCAAAATTATTGCAAAGTGAAAGAACTATAGAAAGATATGTGAAAGACTTCTGCAGAAAAATTCTAAATGGTTGATTTCCTAAATTTGAAAATCCGTTTCAATCAGTATATCCGAATCAATAAGAAAAGAATACCGACCCAAAATAGTAGCATACCAAACAATTTTTAGCCCTAAGGGACAATGCGCCCAGGAATGCTCTTAATTTCGTTTTGGTATTTTGCGTTGATTGACTAAAAACAGCGTTTAAAATTTTGTAAAACAGCGTTTCACTTTTCAGATTGTTGCCACCAAATATTACAGACTGCATTATATTTATAGAAATTAAATAAGAATCTGCATGAATATATGTATGTTTCTCTCATTATGAACAATAAACGGTAACTAGAGCCATCCAATTTTGAATAATGTAGTCCTCCACTCGAATAAGAGCATCTGTAAGCCCGAATTTGGAATTTGTTTTATTATCGATTTGATATTTTGTAAAACTTTAACGAATTTTAGATCAACAAACTCAACGATTTCAAAGCGAGCTATCGCAACACTGTAAAGAAAAAA